AAAGAACGTTATTATTCATAGGGTTCGAAGTTTAAATAACTATGTCTGCAGGGTGTATATACGTTTATTGTCAATTGATTGAATTTTTTTTACATAAATACCATATTCTAGTCACTTTAAACTAATAAAAAAAATTCAGGTCGACCCTTATTTTGTTGCATATATGCATCTATTTAAAATCTGGATTATAGTCGAAAGACGTTGGGACAATTAACTTATGTTGTATATATTTGGGTTCGTAATTGTTCATTTAAATAATATCATCTCCAATATCTTTAAAAATATAATAAATCTTACCGCTGTATCCATGACTTTTAAACTATGATATAAATTACAATACAATAATTTATAATGTATTTATATTTAGGGTAAAGTATACAAATGGTCCCCAACTATAAGATATTGTTTTATTGAGTCTCTTAATTATTATAAGTTAAAAATTTGGTCCCACGATTATAGGAAGTTGCTTTGTTGAGTCCCTCAACTATTAAAAGTCACCCGACTATTCATTAAGTTTCAAACTCATAATTTCCATTAAAAAAATAACGATCGCCTGAGATGAACGTTAACATGTTGACTGAGATACGATAGTCATTTGAGATTATGAAAACGAATTTTATCATATCCCAATCAACAGATTAGTACAACTCATACTACCGGCAAAATTTTAATGAAAAATGACGAGTTTGAAACATGATAAATAGTCGGGTGATTGTTTTGTAACTTCTAATAGTTGAGGGACTCACAAAGCAACTTCATGTAGTCGGAAGACCATTTTATAATTTTTAACAATCAAGTGACTTAATAAAATAATATCCTATAGTCATCGACATGAAGGTTGTTATTTTGAGCACTTTTATTATTTTACATTAAAATATTTATTTTTAAGTCTCATTGTGGCAGTCGATAAAATCAGATCAAAACTAAGCTTAGTTACTCCAAATTAAACAAAAATTAATAACGAAATTATAGAAATAATCGATCTCCATTTCATATCTTTAGCAATAATCAACAAAAAAGAAATATTTCAATTTAATTTCTGTTTTCTTAGGAAAAAAATACCATTAACGGATTAATTTAATTTATTGACGTGAAATTAAATAGGTTTAAACATTTAATATTTTATTTACAAAAAAATCCAAACAATATAAATATTATATTACATTATTTAAAAAAACCACTAATAGACCTTTCTTATTGGTTCACATTTAAATCATTTTTGCTGTTGTTGATTTTGACGGTCGGTTCGTTATTTTGCCTTTGTTCATGAATCTTTTCTTCATGCTTCTATCAATTGTATTTGTCGGTAAGGTTATGAATAAATAATTTTTTATGGAAACAATTAAATCATGTTTCCAAATTAACATAATTACAATTCATCTATAATGATTAATGAAGGTTATTACCATCGAAGCTATCGAAATTAAACTCAAAAAACCTAGCGCCCTTTCCCCCTTTTCTTCCCTTTTTTTTTCGTTGATGGTTACCAAAATGTTTCACTCTAGATTTACAAATTTATGGATATTTTTTTGGTGAAACAACCACCAGATTCAAACTCAAGGGTCTAGGCGAATCGATCCATAAAATTTGAGATCGAACGTCCACCATCTATCGCGATTGACGGCAGCTGACGATCGTACTTCCTAGAAATTTTAACAGGGGTCGGGGCCCCTTGGGCTCTAAGGGAGCTCCGTCCCTGCGAGGGGTGGTTGGATGTGCGATCGTATTTCCTAGAAATTTTTTTTTTATATTTTCTATCGATTATCTAATTTCGTGCCCCTAAAATTTTATAACTTTGTAATCTCTACAATTTTTAATATAACTTCTTAAATTTACACCCCTGACATAAATTCTCACGTTCGTCCTTGTTTATAAATACAATTTACAAACCTTATTTCTTCCCTAATATCTCCCTTGTTTCACGTGCGATTGATTTATAAATGGACAAGCTTCAAAATCTTCAATGGGTGTGTAAAATCTTGAGGAAAAAGATGACAATAATTGAAGCTTAATTTCTATTTGTCTACCAAATGTAGTACACGATTAGAGAAACATCGATCTCATACAATATCTCTTATTTGCTAGTTACTAGTTAAATTAATAAGATGAAAGGTTAGATTTTCTAAACAATATCGGAGATCAATACCTTGATATTACGAATGAAAAAAATTATACCAAAAAACATCATTATAATGGATCTTTGTAGTATTTATTACGAATTAGTTAATCAATTAATCGAATACTAATAATTATACCATAAATAAAAATAACTCTGCCTTAAGCCTAGGGATGGCAAACGGGTACAGTTTAGTGGATTTCGCACCGCATTCGCTCCAATTAGAGCGGAGATAGGTATAATTTTAGTAGGTAGGGGGGCGGGTGTGGATTTATAAAGTGATACCCGTCGTGGGTGGTGGGCGGGTAATGGGTTTGAGACATTACTCGCCCCGCATCCACCAGCCCCACATCCGCCCACCCAGCTAGATATCTATTAAATTTTGGACCATTATGAATTTAGGTGTAATTTTAGAGACTAATTTATAAATTTTAATATTGTATAATATATATAACATATAATTTATCCAAATATTAAGGATATTTAGTCTTTAATCTGGTCTTTAAATTCGGCTCTTTGATTAAACCCATAATCCCACTAGCCATGTCACTTTCCATGTTCTTTAGCCCATGCTGCCCATCCAAACACAAATTAGCCGTACTATAAGCATTAACATCAAAAGCAGCAGTTTTCATATTCTTTAGCCCCTCAAAACCCATATTAGGCGCACTATGAGCATTAACATCGAAAGCAACACAACAATCCAGCTCTACGACTACATGCTCCCTACAATCTGTCTCCATAACATTCGTAGAGCTACTCCTCTGACAAATTGAAGCATGCGCTGCTACCCCATCACGAACTGTCTGGGAATCAACTCCAACATCCCATTAGTTTGCTGTCAGGCGGGTCCAGATGGGTATGTCGCTAGTGGGTAGTGGGTGTGGGGATGAATTTGAAAATGTACCCGCGTGGGCGGGTGTGGATTTGAAAATTTATACCCATCATGGGTGGTGGGCGGATGGTGGATTGAAAAATATTAAGTGGATATGGAGATGGGGAGGGGATATCCGCACCCGACCCGCCCGTTTGCCATCCCTACTTAAGCCCCCTTATTAACACACCAAAATTTTCAACCATTGCAATTAGAAAGCACCATTAATTAACCCCCCCCCCCGATTTATCTTTTGTTTCCATTTTTCTCACTTTTTCTTCATCACTACCACAATAGATGGGAAGTACACTCTTAACTTTATTGTCCCTTTGCATTTAGGGGAATGCATTTTGACAAAAATGGACTATGTCAATTTTTCAAAAGAGTGTTGGGTAAACTACACAAATTGAATTTTGATGCAACTTTTTAGCTTTTTTTTTAGAGTTAATTGCATAATATGTTTTCAAACTATATTCTTATTTTAAATTGGTCCTTAAACTTTTGAATATTTTAATTTCATCCCCAAACTATGACTTTCATTCTAAATTAGTCCTTATATTTTTAATATTTCAATTCCATCCATAAACTATGACTCATTCTAAATTGGTCCCCCAAACTTTTGAATTTTCCAATTTTATCCCCAAGTTCATCCAAATATGTAATTAGTTTCAACCATAGTTTAACCTAAATTTTCTTTTCTTTTCAAACATATAATAAATAACTTGGCTAATGATTTTATTAACAATGAATGTGATTAGTATACACATATAGTTGGGATGAAATTGGAATATTAAAATATTTAGGGACAAATTTAGAATGAATATTATAGTTTGGGGAAGAAATTGAAATATTCAAATTTTAAGGACTAATTCATATCAATAGTCATAGTTTAAGGATGAAATTAGAATATTAAAAAGTTAAGGTACCAATTTAAAATGAAATCATACTTGGAGGACATGCGATACAATTTACTCATCTTTTTAAATAAATGTTTAAAATTTTATGATTTTTAGAATGAAAAAATTTAACATTTGTGTGATTAATATTTTTAAAAATACTATTTTTATATATTTAGAAAACATATTATGAATTTTTAGATTATTTTTATAATTTTTAAATTTATCAAGAAAAGAATTTTAGAAGTATCAAATTGATGTTTTAATTATAATTCAAAAGTTCAATTAAGTATTAACTCTTGAACTAACATCTCATGACATCATTTTGTTAAACGGTTCATGACATTCCACATACAAATGACCAAAATATTACATGTCTATAATGTTAATAACCATTTTGTAACTTTTTATAATTTGATGACAATAAAAAAAAGGATCATTTATGTAGTTTACCCAAAAAAAATTTCATATTACAATAATGCTAATAACCAGATTTAGTGAAGATATCTCCAGATTTGCAAGCAAAACAATCCACATAGTAAGCTGCAAACAAATTACAATACCATTCATGTCTTTGCCACCCTAAGCACCATCCCCTACAACTCTCTCCTCGCTGCATCACTGCTTCCGACCGACGAGTCGCTTTCACAAACAAGAGGCCTTAAAGACGAGATGGTAAAAGGAATTTTCGGCCTCGACAACAATATTATTTTTTCGCAAAGAAGAAAAAATTAGAATGACTAAACATATTTAGTTCTAATGCATGTACTGAGAGACTGAGGACTAAAAAGCTATTGTTGGCGATCGATTCTACGCGAAAGGGTTCCCTCCGATGGAAGCAACAGGTCCTTGAGCTGGTCCATTCCTGTTATCGAAAACGAATCTTAACTTACGGAAGCATATGAATATGATATAATCATGCACCATACGCATTCATTTACTATTTTGAAATTCTAGTAACAATGATGAAATTGACGATAACGTAATAAATAACTTACGACAATTGCGAACTTGGTTTATTGACCAGACATGTAGATAAAGCCACTTGCAGAAATAAACTAGAGAAGAAAGAAAAATCAAAGTAATATAGCCTTAGAGATCATCCAAGCATGAACTTAATGATTATGGCTCTTTATCCAAGTAGACAACATGAACTACCTTGTGGTGTTGCTGGAATATACGGTGCCGCTGGATTCTGAGGAAGCCACGATTGTGATACACCGCCAAGAAAGGGGGAAGGCGACTGAGCATTAGGAAGTGTGGTTTTTAACGAACTCATATCAAAGAACTGCAGTATGCCGTAAACCATTAACCAATTTTATAGAAATGAAGAAGATATTGAATAATCAACATGCATGATACATAGTGTCAGGAAAGAAAATGCGACGTATACCTTATCATTTTGTTCCGATTCAGAATCATAAGGAAGATCAAATGGGTTGGTTGATTTATATGATCAGCAGCATGCGACTGTTGTTCTCCCTGCAAAATAAGTTCAAGAACAAAAGAACCTGTAAGTTAAAAGAACAAACCAAAAGTGGATTCGTTGATGGAGCATATAATGGTGCTGTGCCGTTCTCTGACGGAAGAGTAGCAATAGCAAAACAAGCACGGGAATCGGCTGTTTGGATGCCATCATTTTCATGGTTCTGCAGGAGCAGACATCTTAAACATAAGTTACGGAAAAGCAAATTTTTTGCATCATTAGAAATAAAAATAGCGAACCTCCGAAATTGCCAAGCCCAAATGTTCATCAGTGTTCGCCAAATGATTGTATGTTACTACCTGTGGCTCAACAGGAAGTGGTTCAGCAAAACCATTAAAAGCATCCCATGACTGTTCGAAGACAGTGGGTCACTTGACAATACATTTGACAGGCAATATGCGTTACAATGTGAAATGGTTTACCTGAGTGCCAGTTGCAAAAGTCGAGGCTTGACCGTCATACCTCTCTTGCTATTGACTAGACATCGTCGAAGTATTACCAAAAACACTGGAATTTTCAAAAAGTGGCGGCCACTCCAATATTATGGCAAAAGTGCCCAGATAATGATAGAGTGATTGTTTAATTCCTAAAAAAATCCAGTTTACTTATTATTTCTCAAATGGGGTGAAATGTACAATGCTTCAAGTGGTTCTTCGGATATCTCGGCGTTTTTAGGGTTAATTTTTTCCATGCTTGATTTCTCGGTGTCTTTGGGCATGACACTAGGGGAATGCTCGGCGTCTTCAAGCAATTTGACAGTGGGATCTCTCGGCGTCTTCTGCATGCTACAGGGAATGCCAAGGTGGATCTCTCGGCGTCTTCACCTGTCGTCTGGCGCACGGGAATCTCTGCATGACTCTCTGAATCGTGCATGCATGCTGGGGGGCCTGGACGTCTGAATCTCTGCATGACTCTCTGCATGCATGCAGAGTTGCTTTGACACTTGAATACAATAATAATGGGATTGCTCGGCGTCTTTAGTTAATAGGGTTACAAGGGCGTTCGATTTTTCGGCGTCTTCAGCTATGCATGGAGAATATTTGGTTGCAGGTGGCCGTGAAATCTCGGCGTCTTCTTCTTCCTCCGAGATTCGTTCTGCATGCGTCTGTATTCTTTGTGGCCGAAGCGTGAGATTCGCCTGAAGCGTGAGATTTGTTGCATGCTTTGAGACTAATAATTTGCTCGAAGTCTTCAATTGCAGGGATGATATTATAAAAAAACGTCAATAATTGGTGCACCGACTTGTTGTAAAATAGGGGTGGGTATTGTATTTCATTGCATGCAGTTGGTTTTAACTTACAGAAGCAAGTGAGGGAATTTTTTTTTGCATTAGATTCAATTGGAGCTGCTGCTTGAAGTGATATTGGAGATTTTTGTTGGTTCAGTAATTTTTCGAGCTTTGGTTTAACGTCGTTCAAAAACACGTAAGTTCTTTCTCGTTTCCCATGCGAACTCTGTTTTTTTTTTCGTGTTGAAAGAATGCTCATATATGTTAGGAGAATGATACATTTAAATTTTGTTCATGAAACCATAGTAATGTAATTTAGAGTACTAATGTTAATTTAAAATTAGAAAATGTAAGTTTGATGATTAGGTATACAGAAAATTTAAGTTTGAGTATTATTGTTAATTTAAATTTTCGTGTAATTTTAGTTGTATTTTTATATAATAATTATTAGAATTTTTATTTTGATTTAGTGGGAAAAAAATTCTCATTATGTAATCCTGACATTTTTACCGTAATAATAATGTATTTAAGTATTATTTTTATAAAACAATTGTTAACATAATTTATATTTATTATTTATAGTTTTGTAAATAATTAATTTTCATTACATTATTAATGTAATTTATTCTGAATATCTATATTTTTACGTGTAGAGAAAATGAGCAACAAATTTTTTACTATTGTCTATTACAATGGACATATGATGGAAAATGAGGTCGGAGTTATTTTTCAGCCTGAAACACCTATAAATATGATGTTTAAAAGGGACATCACATTTGCAGAGATCAAGGAGAGGATAGAAAGAAAAATACGTGCTAAAGTTGATGGTTTGAGGTACAGATTTATGGTATGTCTCAATCCGGTCAGGTATGCTGCAGTACCACTTGAAGAAGACGATGATATTATAACTATGGTTGAATTACATGACTCAACAAATATTCCAATTATTGAGTTATTTGTTGAGTTGTGTAATATATCTAATGTGTCTGGGTCATCAATAAATGCGGTTGGAACTTCATCTCAAATGGGTTTCGAGAGTCATTTCGATAACCCAACATATAGGTCGATGAACAGCTTTGTGGCGATGTTGGAAAGTGCAAATGAAGTTGGTGGAACATCTGGAGCCGCAGAGTATGATGCTGAAAACCGCTGAGAAGAAATACTTGAAGATTCCAGTGAAGATGAAGAAATTGAGGAACCTCTTTTGGCTGAGGATGATGCCATGTTCCATGGTGATGAAGTTGATATCAATATTGATGAATATTCGACATCGTATCAACCTACCCCCCACATGCAGGAGATTGATTATGAAGCAATGAGGGCACCTGAATTCCCGGAGATGCCACATTTAACTTCAGGTTACATGATTGAATCGTCCGATAACTCTAGTGAATTAGCAGTTGGGAAGCAATACAGAGGAAAAAAAGAAGCTACACTAGCGATTAAAGAGTATTGCATAAGAGGCCATGTAGATTGCAAGACTGCAGAGTCCAACCAGAAAACTTTGTACGCGAAGTGTGTTAAATATGGGCCCGAGTGTAAATGGTTGATCAGAGTGTCCAAAATGCAGAGGCAAGATGCTTGGGTCATCACAAGGTACAATGGTCCACACACATGTTTGCAAAACTCTATCGAACAAGACCACCGACTACTGGACTCTGATGTAATTTGTCAATATGTGAAGGTTTTGGTTGAACAAAATCCAAGGATCCCTTGCTCGGTGTTAGCTGCATCTATTCGAGACCAGTTCAGATACAATGTAAAATACAAACCGTTTGGCATGCGAAGGAGAAGGCAAGGAGGTTGATATATGGCGATTGGGATACATCATACAATGAGTTACCTGATTTGTTACGAGCTATGAAACAATTCATACCTGGAACCATCGTGAAGTCTCAGACCATGCCTGCATACGACCGAGAAGATCAACTTGTTCAAGGGAAGAGAATATTCCATAGACTCTTTTGGGCATTCAAGTCTTGCATAGAAGGTTTTCTATTTTGCAAACGTATGGTCCAAATAGATGGTACGTGGTTATACGGTCAATACAGACATATATTATTGATAGCAGTTGCGCAGGATGGTCAACGAAATATATTCCCAATTGCATTCGCCATCGTTGAAGGAGAGACAACACAGGCTTGGGACTTCTTTCTCAATAATCTATGTAAGTATGTCGTCCGAGAAGAAGGAGTTTCCTTTATATCCGATCGAGGAACTGGCCTTTTGGCAGCAATTGAACGACCGGGAAGTCGTTGGACACCTCCGCACGCATATCCCGCATATTGTATCCGTCATATTGGTAAGAATTGTATTGAGAAGTTTCATAACGGTCGTATTCGTAGGGAGATAGTCAGCATGGGTAAGTTTTATTTTCAGCATTTGTACTCATTTATGTGTTGTTTATAAATTGACTTTAACACAATATCTATTTTGAAACAGGATATGAACTACGCCAACCAAATTTTGACAAGAGATTGGAGGATTTGAAGGCCATAGATGAGCGCGTTTGGAAATGGGCGTCGAAAATCGAGCGGGAGAAGTGGTCGCAAGCATACGATTGTGGTCGGAGATACGGACACATGACTACAAACCTTGCTGAGGCCATTAATTCAGTACTAAAAGGTACACGACATCTCCCAATAGCGAGTGTGGTGAAAGAGACGTACTTTAGGTTGGCTAAAGTTTGGTCTGATAAAGGGAAAGAGATCAAGTGTCTGATAAATCGAGGTAAAATCTGGGCTCCGGCGGTGGTAGAAGCAATGGAAGCAAATAAGCGTATGGCAACCTCAATGTTTGTTCATGACTTCGATCGAATTGGACATACTTTTGTTTTCATCGCATGCATACGTCGCAACGAAGGAGCAGATCGAGAATCATTTACTGTTAATTTACGACAAAGATGGTGTGATTGTGGCCGCTTTCAGGCGTGGAGATATCCGTGTGCTCATGCAGTCGCTGCATGTATGCATACTGGAATCAATTCATACACTTATGTTGATGAGTGCTTTCACCTACAGAGGATATTAAATATATACAACTATGAGTTCAGACTGATCCCAAATGAATCTTATTGGGACAATCGAGATCATGATGAATGGTTGCCAAATCCACTACTTCGTAGAAGTCCAACGGGTCGACCAGAATCTACTCGTATTCATACCAGTATGGATATACATATTAGAGAGAAAGGTCAACCGAAGAGGTGTGGATTATGTAGAGGTGAAGGGCATTCAAAAAGAAATTGTCCAAACCTTCCACAGTATAGACCTCAGCAGTAATCTTATTATTTTATAAATTTTATATTATATGCGATTCAATTACTCGAGTACATATTTAATAATAATTATTTAAATTTAATTATTTAACTTTAATGATTTAATAATAATTATTTAACTTTAATGATTTAATAATAATTACTTTAATGATTTAACTTTAATGATTTAATAATAATTACTTTACTGATTTAATTTTAATGATTTAATAATAATTACTTTAATGATTTAATTTTAATGATTTAATGATTTAACTTTAATGCTTTAATAATAATTACTTTAATGATTTAATAATAATGACTTTAATGATTTAACTTTAATGCTTTAATAATAATTACTTTAATGATTTAATGATTTAATGATTTAATGATTTAATAAATAATTACTTTAATGATTTAATTTTAATAATTTAATAATAATTACTTAATTTTAATGATTTAATTTTAATGATTTAATAATAATTACTTGACTTTAATGATTTATACTTACTGATATAATAATAGTAAATATATTCGATTCAATTACTTTAATTTGATACAAATAATTAAAATAAGAATTACAACTCTTGTCGGACTCGGGGTGTTGTTGAGTAATAATGTCGAGGTCCACGT